CTTCTCTAGAGCAGGTCATGTGCAGCTTGAAACCCTCTGGTTCCCCCTTTGATGTGGTCCCCCCTCGACTACTAAAAGAGGTTTTTCCTACTCTAGGTCCGTCCATTCTTGCCATAATAAACAGTAGTTTATCCACTGGCGTGGTGCCAAAAACCTTTAAACATGCTGTTGTCCAGCCTCTCCTGAAAAAACCAAACCTTGACCCCTCAGTCGTGTCCAACTTCCGGCCTGTCTCCAAACTCCCATTTGTTTCTAAACTACTGGAGAAAATTGTCGAGTCCCAGTTGAAGTGCTTCCTGGAGGGTCACGCTATCTTAGAGCTATTCCAATCTGGCTTTAAACCTCTCCACAGCACTGAAACTGCCCTGCTGAAGGTTTTTAATGAAATTTTCTTAACCACTGATACCGGTGATTCTGTGCTGCTTGTCCTGTTGGACCTCACAGCTGCCTTTGACACCATCGACCATGAGATCCTCTTTGCTAGGTTAGAGCAGTGGGTGGGCATCACAGGGTCAGCCCTCAATTAGTTCAGATCTTACCTCACTGACAGATCCTTTTGTGTCTCCATCAAGGATTTTAGTTCTGCAGCGGCAGAGCTTAAATGGGGGGTTCCGCAGGGGTCCATCCTGGGTCCCCTCCTATTCGCTTTATACCTGCTGCCGCTTGGTGCTATTTTCCGGAAACACAACATGCCCTTCCACTTCTACGCCGATGACTGTCAAATTTACTTCCCCCTAAGACACAATGGTACATGCTCTATTCAACCTCTGCTCGACTGCCTGGCTGACATCAGGGACTGAATGGCTTTAAACTTCTTAAGTTTCAATAAAAAGAAGTCTGAAGTCATGTTGTTCCCTCCCAATGATACGATCACAAACCACTGCATCGACTCTCCGTTCTAAACTTGTAAAAAAAACAAAAAGTCACTAATCTGGGAGTGATAATGGACCCTTCCCTGAAACTTAGCAATCATGTAAACATGATTTAACGTTTCTTCCAACTGAGGCGGCTGTCTAAACTGAAGCCCATATTGTCCAAAAAGAACCTGGAGACAGTAATACATGCATTCATTACATCTAGGCTTGATTACTGCAATTCGCTCTTGTTTTGTATCAGTCAAACCTCCATAGCACGACTACAACTGGTCCAGAATGCAGCAGCCCGATTTTTAACCAGTACAGGCAAAAGAGAGCACATTACACCAGTTTTGGCCTCCCTGCACTGGTTACCGGTTCACTTTTGAATCCAGTTCAAAATACTCATGTATGTCTACAAATCACTGAACAGTGTCTCCCCCCCCCCCCCATCTCTCTGATTTGCTACAACCGTATGTCCCACCACGTTCCCTGAGTATAGGTTATCGGCCAAATAAGTTTTAACTTATCAGCATATCGAATATCGGCCCAAAATCTAATATCGTGCATCCCTAGTTTCAATGAATGAAACTGCAACTTCAGGAAAAATCAAATACATTTAAAGGTCTTACGGGGAGAGAATAGAACAGGATCCCAAGGAACAGGATAACCAGCAGAAGAAGAACCGCTGCAATGAAAATCCACTTGAATCTGCGCCACACTATGAACTTCATGGTCTTGCAAGGGTTCGTAAACCAGAAAAAAGACGTGTCAGGGCGGCTGTTGAAAGAAGAAGAACACAACTGTTCGCATTATGAGAATCTGTATAAACAAATCTATTGTCTCCTTTAGAAGAGCCACGTTCATACTTGGGTGCATCCAGTTTTGGATTCATGTTCGGCTCATCTCGACCTTTTCCAGCAGGTCTCTCCTCCATTTCTTTTTCTTCTACGATTTCCAGAGTCATCTCTACTTTTCCCTGTAAAGCACAACAACAATTCAAACAGTAAGTATCCAGAGACACAGTTATGAATATGTCAACATGAGCCAAGCTGTGAAGATGAACCAACATACTCCAAGCACAGGTTTTCCATCCTGCTCTATTGCACACGGCCACCAGCCCCGCACGGACTTCTGGGAGAAAAGTGAGCTTTTGGAGGAGACAGATGGTCCCATCATCCCCGGCAGCAACTTCAGGCTGCACTTCTCATGGGACTTAGCAGGAGGGATCAGACTGAGCAGGTCAAGTTCCACAGAACCTATAAAGGAAAGCTAACAAATCAACATGTCGTGCTTTACAGCAGCACTTTGAGCAAGGCTTTTACATTCTCTGGTCCAATAAGTGATGGTACTACTTCACCTAGGTAATCATCAAGGGAGAATTTGTCATTGTCCCATATCTGGATGATGAGTTTAGGAGGAAACCTGTGTTCGGTTTTGTCCAGATTCCAAAAGTGCTCCTGCAAAAAGACAGCCAGTTCACGTACGTCGTTACATACAACTGTATCTTCATCTATAAAAAAAAGTTGAATCGACATTCAGTGCTTCGTTCCTGGTCTGTGACTTCACCCACTTTTCTTGAGACGACACACAGCTGCTCAGCAGGCAGGTAGTCAAATCCAAAGATGAACCGCCAGTTGAAATTCCCGTCTCCATCCAGAGATCTGTAGTGGACATCAGTTTTCTGCTTGTCCTCTTCCATTCCGGGCATCCAGCTACAGATTCAAACATACGATTGCTTTAAAAGCAGACTTTTAAATGAACACGTCCAGCTAAAAGTACAAAGGAAGGATTAAAGTCAGGGTTGTCACGTAATGTACCCTTTAACATAGATGTCACTCATGTTTTCTCCAGTGATGCTCGTTTCGTCCAGAATGACGTCTGTTGTGTTCCAAACGATAACTCGAAGAAAATATCTGTTTCAAACGTGAACAATACACGTATTATATCTATTGTGAAATGTACTGGAAAGCTGAAAAATAACCAAGTTGCAAAGACTTTCTTACTTTTTGGCTTTACGTGGAGTGATAACGCACGGAGGTCCAGGCAGACCAAGCCTTTTGGGGAAAATATCGACCCACATTTGAACTTTTCCCTGCATTGGTTAAAAATATAACTCCTAAGTCAGAATAAATTATTTTAATTTCAGTTCAAGTTATCAATAAAGTGCTAATTCTCATCAAATATCACCTCAGATGTATTGTAAAATAAACAATTAAAATCCATTTACATCAGTTCAGATGAACCGACAGATGTTTGTTTTTACCTGGGACAGATTTGGTTGATGTGAGCTGTACAGGGTTCTGGTCTCAACATGTTCTGGTACCAGACCTTGGTTTCTGAGAACATGGAGGGCGAGCCTCTCCCTGGCTGGACCCAAGTGTGGGTGAATCTCAGTGTTTGACTCTAAAGAATGCAGCAACACGAAGAAAGGGTGAATTACAAAAAAAACATGAACATTAACCTTGAACGAGTCCAGCATCAATGAGGTCAAAACTTAAATAATGAAATAATGAAAATATTTAAAGTTTAAATAAATAAACAAACACCAACAAACAATAAAAAATAGTGCTTTAGGACCTTACCAAAATCCTGCAGGCTGTATTGTTTTCCTGAGAAAGACAGTGAGCTGCCATCTCCTTCTACACGTGGAGGAGGAACATCCCTCTCTTTAGCCAAGTTTTGAAGGATCTGCAAAGGTTTCAATTGATCTCTCCACCGATTGATCCCTGACCTGCAAGAACATGGAACTAAATGAACGTTGTACATTACGTTTGATCATGATCTCAGCGTATTAAATAAAAAGGAGATTTGAAGCAATTGAAAAAGAACTAGAAGTTTTTTAAAAAGTCACTTAACTTTTTTTTTTTTATGGAACTGTTTCCTGTTCTAGATTTCAAACGTGATGGAAAGAAAGTACATACCAGTACTTACACACAGTACGTTTGTGGCAGGCCACAGCTGGACCTGAAGCAAGACAGGAACCTGTTCTCCAAATCGATGACCGTCTCACCAACCTTTTCATCTCTGCTCAGTAAGTCGTAGTCATACACAGCGATCTTCAGGTCTTTGTCCTGAGGCAGGAAGCAGGACAGCTCAAACATCCTGGATATTACAAGATAAGAACAAATTAAACGGTAAATGGTAAATGGACTGTACTTATATAGCGCCTTTCTATCTTATTTCAAGATACTCAAAGCGCTTTACACTACAATCTGTGTCCTCATTTACCCATTCATACAGCACTCTACTAGATCTCTACGAAACTAATTGAACAAATCCTTCTAAAGAGACTAATCAGAGCTTTAGATCACATTCATACACTGATGGGACACACATCAGAGGCTATGAGGAGTTCATTGTCTTGCCCAGGGACACTTCAGCATGTGACTGGATGTTTTTGGCAATCAATACCTCATAGAAAGGAGAAACCACTGACTCACCTTCCAAATTCTGGATTGAGGGTGTTTGGTTTGTAATTATCCCTGTCATCCAGTGTTTTCCTCCCAAGCTGAATCTTGATGTATGGATCGCACTGAAATAATCATGCAGGCACAACATTTGGTGCTTTAGCTTCAAGATCAAGTCAAATCGGAAAAGGGGTTTGTTATTTTCACTAAAGACTCTACTTCTCTACACTCAAAGACTCTACTTCCTAAAAAGACTAAAGAAGTTTGGTACGAATGCCAGCATCCTTCTTCTTCTTCTATAGGTGCACCATTGAGAGCCTGCTCACAGGCTAGGAACTGCACCAATCAGAGCCGGAAAGCACTTACAGAGGGTGGTGCAAACAGCAGAGGACATCACTGGTAGCAGTCTCCACACCACCCAGGACATCTACCACAGCTGATGTCTGCGCAAGGCACGCAGCATCATTAAGGATCACACCCACCCAGCACAAGGACTCTTCCATCTACTACTCTCAGGCAGACGAAACAGGAGTCTGCCATCGCTCACAAAAAGACTAAAGGACAGCTATTATCCACAAGCTGTCAGATTACTAAACTCTCGATAAATAACACATTGCACCAAGCCACATCTGTGACAACTAATATGACTAATATGAATTTGTGACAGTTAATATGTTAGTTATGTACAATATATATTATGCATTTTAGCTTATGTGAACTATTTATTCATACAAATTCATCCTGCTTGCACTGTTAAAATTCTACCATGTTGTTGTTTACTATTTTATTTTTAGGACCTTGTAAATATTATAATTTTTCACTTTTTGGTACTTTATTTTTATACCCTTATTGCATGCTTTAGGATTTCTTATTTGTTTGTTCTTTGTTTTTAGCGAGTCAAATCGGTTCTTCTCATCCTAAGCATTTCATTGTACTGTTAACTTTGCATATGACATAAACACAACTTGAACTAAATGTTAAAAAGCACACACCATGCCATTTGTATCCTTAGGCTGCAAGTCAATGCAGCGCACCACATAAATCCTGACCAGGAACTCCTGCGGTCCTCTCTCAGGAAGCTCTCTGAACTGCTGAGGTGGAGGAGGTACGTCTGGGTCGTCAGACAGCGGGTAAATCTTGAACGAACCCTGAATGACACCAAAACCAACAGCTTAGAGGAGGGAAATATAAACTGAATCTCTTAATTTCTCAGTCGGTGTGAGAAAATGTGATAAATGTCAGATAAAAAATAAAGAATTTTGTTAAATGTGTTTGTTCAAGTACAAATATCCACTTCCCTCCCTGTCTAAATTAAAATTAAAGATATTAAATTATTTAACACAAAACAAATGAGAACAGAGGGGACAAATATGTTCAACTGTATTTACAGTAATAATATAAAAAAGTGCATTTTAGTTCAATTCTAAAAGTTTTACTAAAAAAAAAAAAAAAGTTTGAACACAAATAATCATTAATCTTATGCTTGGAAAAGTACCTGCTGGCTTTTTTGTAATAACAATCAAAATGTGATGGTTTATTATTGATAGCTCCTCTTCACTACCTTGAACTCGCCCACCACTGAGGGGTCCTCCTCGTCATCCTCAGTTTTTCCCCGATAAAGCTTGAAAGTGCTGCAGAAATCTGTCAGTCCCTGAAACTCCTGAACACTTTCTAATTCACGCTTGTAAACCTAAAAACCATAAGATCAAATCAGAGTATAGTAAAAACTAAATTCAGGCTCAGAAGAAGTCAGAATTTTGGTCGTTATCTGTTTTTACCTGTAAGGTGTCGTATCCCTTCTTTAGGTAAGGCCCACATTTTTCCTGCTCCCCCACAGAGGCATAAAACTTACACCACCAGTCGACTGCATCCTCCTCCTCCTCCTAACCAAAACAAAGCTGGGGTTACCACAGTCATGTTGGAGCTGCCTGAAAAAATACCCTCAAATATGAGAAAACCTCACCTTTGGTGCTCGAAACTGAAAAGTGGGAGATAAACAAAACACATATCAGTAAAAAAAAAAAAAAAATCAAAAGTTGATGAAGAAATCTTGTTTGAGAACCTGACCTCAGTTTTCATAATGGCTCTGTCATTCATGTCTATGACAACATCTCCTTGGGCGGCTGTTCTCATCGCCACTACAAATAATGAAAATAAAACATGAATCTGGTCTGTTTGTAGCTGCGGGTGTCAGGGCATGTATAAGTACCTCTCGCTGGCATGCAGATGTCACTGTTACGAAGATATGGGTCACAGCGAAACTGCTTCAGGCAGTCAATGGTGCACTGTCCCACCACTGGTTTCCTGCCGAAGGGCCTGTGGTCGACGACTTTCAGCACGATGGGAGGGGTGTACATTTCCTCTTTGGGAAGGAGCTAGGTGCACATCAAAAGATGACAAGTCAGGAACAAAATAAGGCGCATTTAAAATATACTTGGGTCATTATTTGTCATGTTTAAAAGCTAGTTTGGAGTTTTTCAGCAGGTTTTGATAAAGTATTAGCAATAAGTATCTTACCTGCAGTAGACAAAAGACAGAACGATATTAGTTTGAAGAATCAAGGGCGAAAGGACCGTGTTTAGCTCACAGCTACTCAAAAGAAGACTGATTTGTAACATCAGCTGAAACATTAACTTCACTGAAGCTCTGGTAAATGTTGTTTAGTAAACTTTGATGTTACAGTCAGCTTGCATCTCTCCTGAGACCATTTTACTGATTTTCTAACCTGAAATTGCTCTGACTGCTGTCTTCTGAAGCAAAGATACTGACTGCTCAGAAATACTGTACACCAGTGGTTCTCAAGCTGGGGTCCCAAGACCACTGGGGGTCATAACAGGTCAATAAATTAATTACTTTATATATATATTGCTATTGCAGGTTATATATATTGCTATTGCAGGTTAATAAATTAATTTATATATATATATTGCTATTATATATTTGAATCTGTTGGACTCCTGTCAGGGACCAATGCAGACATGTTCCTGTTTTTAGTTTTCTACAGTCGTCTTAGAATCTAGCTGTTTTTTTGTTACTTTTCTTTTCTTTTTTAGCCATCCTATTTGTTTTAAAAAAAAAAAGTATGACTTTTTATAACTGTTTATTGTTGTCGCTGTTGTCATATGTTTAACAACCCATTAAAATACACCAAAATGCAGGAAATCACATCTATTTTATTCAAAGATTTCTAGGGCAGGAACCCCCGCAGACCCCCCCCCCCACCCCCACCACAAATGTTTTTAAGGAAGTGCTTATTGAATGAAAAATACTGCATGTTTAAAAGTATAAAAATTGTATTAACACTATTAAAGAACACAGGTATTTATGTTACACAAAAATTTCTATTGCATTAAAGAGACAAACTGAAGAAAATAATTTAATAAACATGAGGGTTCTGAGGGGGTCCCTGAACCCAAAAAGTTTGAGAACCCCTGCTGTACACAACACCCCTTTAAAATATCTGAACTATCCCTTTAACTATGTCCATCATATATTGTTTTTCTTCTTTTATGAAGAAAAGTGCATATGTTACGACAACAAAGACAAGATTTATTATTTTTTGCTTGACGCAAGCCCCACACTGAAAAAAATAAAAATAAAAAAATACGAAAATGCAACATTTCATTTGGTTCAATTAAAAAAGGTAGGTTAATTAAATAGTTAAATTAATAACTTGTTCTTTTGTGTGTTCTTCATTAATGAATTTGAGGACACGTACCACTTTTAGGAGCAGCACAGATCCAGGGAAGTTGGGGTTCTTTTTGAAGTTTTTGATCACAGCTGTTTGAACAATCTCACCCCCACACTCCACTATCAGGCTGGGGGAGGACACAGAAGCCAGCTGGAAGCTCTTCATGTTCCTCAGACCCCAAGTCAAAACCTATAGTTGAAAGGCGGAGGGGGAATCACAAACAAAAGACACATTTAGGATGATGGTGTCTGAAAGGGTGAAACATGAGGAATCAACCCTGAGTACCTCGATTGCTGTCAGCTGCACTACTGGTCTGATTCCCTGAGGAACCATGTAGAGCTTCTCCCCCCGTCGAGGCGGCACCAGAGGCATGTCTCCTTCACTCGCCTGTAGGACAAGCTCAGAGTTAACCTCCTTAATGGAGCTTCACAAACTTATCGCTCCATCAACCGTCTTTAAGTCTTACTTTGTCTTTCAGTAGAAGCTCTGCAGCGAGAAGCACCTCTCCAACACTGCGACCTTTTTTGGTGACTGGGAACCACAGCAGCTTCGGACTGACAGTCATGCTGGGATGAAGTTTCACCACAGGGGGACAAGTGCAGCGGCCCATCGGCTCATCCTTCCCCTGGTTGGCGAAACACAGAAGCACTCAGAAAGTCTTGTCACTTTTTAAACGCTCATCTTTACGAGTGAGTGCGAGCTGGCAGGTTAAAAACGCAACACACCACTTGATCGCTGTCATACAGCTCCAGCACCACATCTGGGGGGTTGCAGGCGAGAGTTTTTGGGTCTCCAAAGATTTCAATGTCCTCAAAGATGAGAGTCTGGTCCCATGTGGGGTTCAGAGTGGTTCTTATGACTTCTGTAGTCTTGCTGACGTGAAGAAATGACACGTGGGCGTAGGGATCTGGAGGGGACAAGGGTGTTGGTTTCTGTGCTCTCACAAACGTGCACCTCACATCAACTCATTTCACTTCATGGTACTTTTCTTTTTGTCGCTTTACAACATCGGTCTGTTTTTACCTGAAAAACTGTCTTTGTCCATTGCACAGAGGCTTCTCCCTTGATAAACGTACACCCTCAGATGGTAAATGTACGACCCTGGAGGAAGGAGACTTCCATCAACGTGCTTTATTACAAAACCAGTTCAAGACTCTTAACAAAACATGTGCACGTAGCAATGTTTCATGACTTTTTGATAACAATGTTATCTACTGTTATTATCGGCAGGAAGAATGTGTGTAAAGAGCCTTTAATCAGCTTTATGTGAGCTGGCTACTCACGGCTAAAGTGGCAGGAAACAGTGGGTGTGTTGGCACCAAATAGTTTGGCTGCATCCGTTTTACTGGTCTTCTCATCAACATCAACCCCCTGTAAACAAAAACAATGAGTCCTTAAGAAACTATTAGATCAAAATGCGCAACAAAGAAGAACTGCATTCAACTTTTTTTTAATGTATGTGCCAACGTTTTACAGGAACAGAGTGCACAAAAATAATGAGAGGATGTGACTCAGAAAGCGTGCTGACTCTTGTTACCATGACAACGGCTTTATTTGTCACGTATTTATTACTCGAAGCGGTTAAGCGACACCCACTAATGCTCCTTCGAGTCTGAAGATGGCGGAGGCGCCGATACGGTCTGATGGGACCATCTTTCTCCTCCAGCGCCGGCGACGGAACGTGTCTGAGGAGCGCTCCTTTCGGTGAAACTTCCAGCCAATCAGAGAGGAGTATTCCCAGCCTTCGCCCGGTTCTCTTCTCTACAACAGAAAGGCGGTTAATAAACATCTTTCAGATTTTGCTTCTTTTCTCATCTGCATCTCTCTCACCTCAGCAGGAGTTGTGTTTTCAGAAACCTTCCTCCTTTTTCTTTGGAGTCGCTTCCTGCGGTGGTTGTGGTACATTTTCTCTGCTGCCACCCAGGATTTAGGTTTGTCATCAGTGGGTACTGTGACTCCATATTCCCAGCCTAGTGTTAAAATCCACACACACACACACAGTTCAACATGGTGTTAAATGCAGAAATATATATATAAAAAAAGATTTTCAAGACATAGTTCTACGGTTCATGCAGCATTACCTCTCTCATCAACAGCTCTGTCACTGTCGAAGCTCCACTCATCCTCCCATCTCCAACCAGGAGGACATTCAAAATCTTCAAGGCTCTGAGACTTTTCTCCGTTCTGCACAACACACACAAGCTGACATTGATTTGTGATCACTGAAATTATACAGGAATTAAGAAGTACTTTGTGATAGATCTGTGGTTTTGACTATAACTGAAAGTTTTATTGATAAATATGTAATTATGATGTTTGTTAAAGTATTCCTTTTTTTTTAATCAATCGTGTCTATTTTATGTTTGTTTTTTGTTGTTGAAGCCTTTTTGGTTTCCATCACCAACCTCTGGAAGAAACACTTCCCTATTTATCCAACACACATGGGCAGTTTATGACCTGAGACAACCCTCGGACCGTCTCAGTCATGCAAAACAAAATTAATTAAAACCAACATTTAGTCATCAGCGACAACTTGAATAAAAAAAAAAACATGCTGAGTCTAAAGCTTTTGCAAAAATTAGTTCATGTTTAATTGCCAGGTTTGTAAGGTCAGTGTTTGAGCTGTTAGAACCAATGTAGTGGGTTTTAAGAAAATATTTATGGAATAAATAATAAGAAAACTTCCTTTTGTGGTGTTTTAATAAACTCTATATGGTTACAGATTTAATCACTTACCAAAAAAAAATGTATTGTAAATACAAAACCAGCTGAATATATCTGTATATGACTCATTATTCATTGCAAATTCAGTCCTACGACCAAATCAGCTTCCAGGAAGCACCCATGATGTTCACAACTTGCACGAACCCCAGAACCAATCACCTGACAAGGGTTTCATTTGCTCCACTGCCCAGTTCAAGAGCCACAACGTAAAGACTGTATGTGTCAAAATTAAAAGGCCTTATAATGAAGTTGTCATATTGTTGTTTTCATTAACAACTATTAAAGGTTTTTTACAATTATTTTTCATCCATAACAGATGCAGGATGAATGCTTTAAAATAGATTGCTGCATATTTTAACAAGGAACAAATATCAGTTTACAAATCTGTCCTAGAGGACACTTGTAACTTAGATTTACAGCTATAGATATTATTTAAGTTAGTAACATGTTGCATTGCCATAACAACTGGCTGGTCATTTCTGAAAAGTCTGCAAAAATTCAATTACATAAAACAACCCATGTGCACGTGTCAGCCCACAGAGGCTGAGACCACTGAAAACAAACATGCTCATATTAACATGTTTCAAATAGCAGTCCCCAGTGTACGTTCGATGTGCATGCATTTGAGGGAAATTGTAACCCATACCACGTCTGTGTAAGGTTCTGCAGCAGGCTTCCACTCCCCACCAGGGAAACGGGCTTCATTCTGAAAGACCTCGTCGATGAACTCTGTGTGTCCTGCGTCTGCTTCTGTCAACAGGCTGCAGAAAACACCAGCACACCACACAGGTTAACGACACTGCGCTGGTGACTCAGACACAAGCTGTGAAGAACCTCCACAAACGGATCAGAGCAGCTCAGGCAGACACGTTCAGAGGATATTTACATCAGGAGGATGTAAGCACTTCCAAAGGACAGAGCGAAGGAGACTTTATTAAACCAAAACACTCACCGATGTTCAAATTCCACATCCTATTTATATCCTTGTGACCTTGATTCTACTTTAGGGTGTGACTGACACCACTAGCTACCTTTAGAGTTTTTCAGAAATTTAAACAGCTTACAAGAAAATTAGAAAAGTAAAAACAGCTTACTTAAACTGAACCATTCAAATGCATTTGGAAAACATAAACTGCTTAGGAGGAGAAAAGAACCAAAAGTGAAGAGGCCACGAGTGCAGTAAGAATAAATATGAAGCTGGGGACACAGACATGCAAAGTAATCTGTTGTGTCACTTTTACTTTAATTTTACTTCCAATGAGACAAAATTTGGTAGTTGTCTGAATACATCTTTTTCAGACTTTCTGAAGTTTTCTTAAAGTTTTTCTTTGAATCTTGGCAGCTTTACAACCATTTTTAGTCCAATATCTCACTATTGTTACATAAACATTGTTTCCTGACACTTAAATTTGACCTTTGTCATATTAAACCATAAAAACACAAAAACACAACAGATGGACAAGAAACAAAATTATCAAATAACTAATTTCAAATTGAATCTTTAGGCACCTTCAGGCACTTTGACTGTTCACATTCATGCATCAAAAAATAAAATAAAATAAAATAAAATAACACTGTTGTACACAAATTAAAAAGTATTTTAGCACCACCAAGGTGATTTCCAAACATCTATGAGCTGAAAAAGACATACAAAACATGATTAAATAATGGACAATACCTCTCTCAAGTTCTGTTGGGTCTTAGGTTTTTATCCCACATTTTAAAGACACAACTTTGAGATATTATTTATCATGCTGTCAATAGTTTTTTAAAGACTTTTTCTGCTGTTCTCCAGTTTTCTCATTTTTAAACGCTGAAAAAATGCTGTCAAGAAGTAAAGAGAAGATGAGTTAAAAAAAAAAAAAAAAAACAATTCCACAAGTAAAACTTCAGAAAGCTTAAAAAATATCTTGACACAGACCATTAGCGAGCCTGGCTCCTTGAAAGCAATGTACAGAGGAGTTAATTATGGTTTAAATGTTTTGCACAGGGCTTCTACAGGTACAGGATGTAGCTTTTTTTTCTTCTTAAACAGCTTTATTGACTAAAACTGTGCAGATAAACTGAACTTTAGTGATGGTTATGACATGAAAACAATATTAGTAAATTCCACTTGCTTTTTGTTTACTTATTATTCAATATGACATTTTGCTATTGTAGCTTGAAAAAAAAAAATCTTGGTGAGATTTTTTTTTGCACACCCTACTTCATCTAACCTATTGATTTGAGGAACACTCTCCTCCTTAAAATGAATCAAATGCCAGAAAGTGTTCGGATTCAGGGTGAAAACAGGATGTTTGCACTTGTGGACAAGTCGAGTCTCTCCACGGACTGTTGTCGTGGAAAAAAGGAGATTCCCAAACAGACCAAGATGTAATTCATCAAAGCTTTGGAGATCCGTCCAGCATTCACTGAACATTAAATACAAACGGAGATTACACTCAAAAGCTGTGCTCTCATCTGTGTGAACCCTGACCTGCTCTAACTCTCTGGACCAGTTGGTTTTATAAAATAATTTCCCTGTCCATGCCCTCAGCCCCTCCATTATCTGAGCTGTCAGTCAAGGGTCCACTGCAGACACAAAGGATCCAAGTCAAAGACTCTGCTGAAGACATGTCACCATATCAATATCAGATCAATCAACCCTTGAGCGTATCAAAAACAACCAGTTAGTTCTGTTCCTCACTGACTGGTCACAGTAAAACTGATTACATGGGACCGTTTATCCTTCACAATCACAGTCAGTAAATACAGAGTATAATGTCTACCTTTGATTAAGTAGAAACAGATGATGCGTGATGAATGCATGAGATACACATTTGTCTCAACACTGCGTCAGAGTGTGCGCTTGTGCTTGATAGAGTTTGTTTCTTACACTCACCTTCGCTCGGGGTCAACAAACCAGTCTTGCTCCCATTCCCATCCTCGCGGAGGCAGAAAGCGCTCTTGTTTGAGTTTCACCTTTCCCGTCACATCGGAGAACTTGTGACGACCGACGAGACCGGTGGTTCCCCACTTCCCAAACACCTGAGCCTGGTTCTCATACTGCAGACGGAACGCACGTAGATTTTGTTGGAACTCCTTACACAACCGGCTGAAAAGCCCAAAATAAACTTGAGTTTAAAAAAATCCAAAAGGTATTTCTTGTACCATCTCAGCATACACGCTGAAGTTTCCCTCTGAGAAGGAGTTAAACTTCTTCTCATGAGCAGAGAGCCCGAGCCACATGTTGACCCGGAGCTGAACAGGAATCTTCACACCTTTGTTTTTGTCCATGGGGTACTGGGAAAGCAAGAGTTAAATTTAAAACATAGAATAAAACAAATCTGAAAAGGTGTTTTAATAATTTTCTGAATCTTCTTGTACCTGCATGAAGATGGTCTGAGTCTTTCCACAGTATTTGCCACATGCCTGCTCATTAAAGTTAGAGAACAGGATCCGGTGGGCCGGGACTCGGGTGTACGCCACCCGCTTCTCCCCTCTCAGCATCCAGATGATCACATCTGGCATACTGTTCTGAGGCTGAGGAGAATGTAACAGTGTAAAGAATGTTTCAGCTGCATGATTGTATTCATCAGTAGCATCACAGACCTCTTCAGCTAGCTGCTTGATTCTGTCCAGCCACTCTTCGATGTCCCCAACAGTGGACTTAACATCTGTGGCCTCTTCTTTCACACAGCTGGCCATCTGTCGAATACTGCCAACAGCTGCATCACGCAGAGTCTTGATTTGGAGATCGAGAGCTGTAATATTGGGCTGATTATCTAGAACCGGAAGCTGTAAACTATCAAAAATGAAACAACAAAGTTTGAATTGGTATTAAAAGGCGCGCTAACAAAGCCTGGTGGAAATAACAGGTTTAGTTCAGGATTGGACCAGCTGTGACTCACCTGTTCAAGTCTCCAATCAAGTGGTTGAGAAGTTTGATCCAAATCTCTCTCAAATGATCCTCGGACATTTTGGCCAGCATGGCTGTTTTCAGAGACGCAAGGTGGGACTCCTGAAACGAGCCATTAAAAACCAGATTAGCCTGTCCTTGGACAAATATTGAGTCACGGTGAATAGTCTCACCAGTCTGTCAGCAATGAAGAGGAGACCATTGACAGAGTCCAGACGATGGCTGATGTCCTCCCAGTACGAAGTAAGAGTCACCACAGGCTTAGTGTCAGCCCAGGGCAGGTAATAATAGTGATTACCTGTGGAGTTACACAGATACTTTAAACACAGTTTGCTGTGTGATTTTGGAGTTGGGTGACATATTTAAACACGCTTAGGCAGCAGATTTTCTTAGTTTGTACCATCAAACATGGCAAAGCTGTACTGGGTTGTGGATGCCAGCGGTTTGCAGGTGGAGTCCAGCTTGTTACCATAGTTCCCGATGCTGACTTCAAACTGGACCGGCTCACCCAGCTCTTGGAGCATGCAGGCGCTGTGGAAAATGGTGCACAGCGAGAACTTCCTCCTCCGCTGGTATTTCTGAAGACAGTCAGAAAAGATGTGTGTGTGAGGGTGGGGGGGGGCTGCAAGCAGCAAAATGCAACATAAAAGAAGCAAAAGTTTAGCTAAAAGCTTAAAGTAGCAAAAGGTTAGTTAGAAGCTAAAATAAACAAAAGGTTGGTAATAAAAACACTAGCCAAAATCTAAAAAGTAGCAAACAGCTTTATAAATGCTAAACGCTTGTTAAAGTATCAAAATGCTTGCTCAAAGCTAAAGGTAGCAAAAGAGTAGCTAAAATCCTAATTTAAAAAAATGCTAACTTAAAGTAGCAAAACATTAGCTAAAAGCAACAAAATGCTGGTTACAAGCTCCAATTAGCAAAATATTGTCTAAACTAAAAGTAGCAAAAGGTTAGCTAATCTAACTATATAGAATATGTAAAGGCTAAAAGTAAAACAAAGCGTAGACTAAATTAAAGCTGGTAAGGCAGATTTCAAAGAGAACCACTGATTTCAAGAAAAAAATTTCAATTTATTTATATGGGAAAATATTTGTAATTAATGTTAAATATTATGAAAAGTATAAGCATTACACAACCTAGATGTCATAGCACCCATCTCCAAATAAATGTTTTTGGTATACGGATGGCTAAATGCCACAAAGAATGCAGAAGTGGTAAAATGTGGAACAATAAAATAACAGAACAATATTATGAATGTTGAATCAGCACTGAATCACATCACGATAGGATTTAAAAAAAAAAGCTTTTACCTGCGACACAAGGATGTCATCGTTTGAGATATCATCCACAATCTTCTCAGCCTTTCCATCCAACTGAGTGGAAAGTTCTACAAGAACCCTCCCCCTGTATGCAACTCCTTCTCCCTGGGACATAACCAAATCTAAGAACCTCATTTAAACACGTCTGTAATGTCAAATATGAATAAATACAAATGTTGTGGTGTCTTTAATAAACTCATGACGCCTTACATTTCCAAAGTTGAGTTCCTCATACGGGTCAGGCAGGCCGGAGAACTCTCTTGGGCTTCCATAAAAGTTGATGTAACACGGCCCAAAAGCTGGGAGAAAACCACCTTCTGGTGCTGCAGGACTCACTGCAACACAGTCAGGTTCAAAACAGCTCAACCATTTTCAGAAGGGTTACAAAATCTATTTTTAACTCTTTATAAGGTCAGGGTGAATCGTTCTATAATGTGACAAGAACACGCGCATGCTTAATCATTTTCGCAACAAGGGCCCTTTTTTTCATTCATTCAACCTTTATTTATACAGATAATCACATCGAGCCTCAAAGACTCATTTACAAGTGAGACCTGTTTGGACAGACAAAAAATTAATGAAAATGACAACGTGCATAGGATTTGGAGGCAAAAATAATTCTTAAGAGACTCTCACTCCTTGGCTGAGGAAAGATAGCCTGAAATTGAAAAAAACGCCCCGCACATAAGCACTTAGTGACGCAGACATTCCGCAGGAGAGGGGAGATGATAATTCACACATACTGATGCAGGACACGGCCGAGTGCTTCACTTTTAATTTCTTTTCTATCAAAGTGCATGCTTTTAGGTCCTGCCATTAGTTTGCAAAATGTCACAATAAGCCTTTTTTTTTTTTTACAATTCTGAACAAAAAGTTAAGATACTCTTTTCATATATACTTGCAGAGACTTTGTTGCAGGTTTCAGTTTGTGTGTCTGCTTCAACAACAACATAAATCAAAGATCAAGTTTTAAAAAAAAGAACTTTAAAACAATTTGACAAGAATAAATGCAAAACTACATGAATACCTTCCAGCTCCCCTCCATAGTGAGACATTTTGCTTAGATTCAGAAACTCGGTTCCTATAGCGTCATCCTTACTCAGACGATCCCTTTAAAAAATAAACATGTGCGTCACATGTCGATTGTTGCGTCGTTAATTTTGTTATCCATATGAACACTTACCAGTCGTACATGGTCAGCTTGACGCGTTCACACATGGATGGGAACTGCAGAGGCAGAGGTCATTTGTAATCGAGTGTTTCTGAATCAAACTTTAGACAGCAGTTTTTGAAACTTACTTTAAACTGAAGATTGATGACTTGGTTCCACTCTGGATTTGCATTTTTCTCAATTATTTTGGTGCACAGCTTTAAAAACGACAACAACATTAAGATTGCAAATGACTTGGGACATTTCTACGTTTACTCTGACAGGAAATACCTTCTTTCCTGCAAAGCTGACTTCCAAATATGGATCAACCAAGTTTTTCTTGTCTCCATCCCCTCCGAAGACTTGCTTCATCGTCTGAACAAAAGCATCGTCCACTGCAACACAAAACCTTCTCTAAATGAAAGTTTCTTGGGTGGATTTTGCTACAAAGACACATATTTTGGGGGTATTTTTACTTTGTGGCATATCTTCTGCTCGATATACTTTGAGATTCAGGGTAGCCCATCGCATCGTGACGCCCGCTGGCACCAAAAGGTTGCTCTCTATGTCGTCCTGCTCCTCGTTCGACCCCCTCTTCTCAGTCTGAGGCAAAGCCGAAAGGATTTGTGAGTCCATTTTCACAGTGAGCATTTGTGAACATGATGGTGAGAAAGGAAGCATCTGTACCGGTGGCTCATCTCCAGTGCCCACAATAAATATGCTGACTTTCAGGTAACCTCTGGTCCCCGAGCAGGAGTCATCCGGATCACTCAGCAAGAGCCATTTTCTTAATATGGCATGGCCTAAAAGTGATGGGAGATTTATGTTTAAACTAATATTTAAATGTCGACTGTCTAAAAAGAACAAAAAAGAACACATAAGGTCGTTCATGTGGTAAAACTGACCAGGTTCATCATAGATGAAACCAACGTCCATCTGGAAATGAAAAGAAAACAATAATCAAATAAAGGCCCGTATCACCCAGCACCTTCCATGCCAGAGTTTTAGATTAAAATCATCTTATGCTGGAGATGAAGATGTCACACTCAGAGTATGTGTTGTGACTCACTCAGCCATGACCACGTCAAATTTGATCTCACTATCTGTAAATTTAATAGAGTTATAGCTATTTGTGTGTTGGCTAAAGTCTATCATCTGAGGCGGTTCTCTTGAACAGTGTTATGGGATGCCGTTTTAAAAGTTACACTGTCAGAAATTAAGAGCAATATTTTGGTTTATTTAGCCTTTCATAAAAAAAGGTTTTTTTTTCAAAGTCATGTTTCACCAAGTTATTCATACATTTATAAATGTCATAGTTCCAAACTAAATATTCAATTCACAAGCTAAATATTTAACTTGTGAGTAACATATTTAGTTAGCAAGCTAAATATTTAGCTCCACACTAAATAAGTAGTCTACAAACTAAATATTTATGTCCAAGATAAATGTTTAATTTGCAAGCTAAATTGTTAACTTGCAAGTTAAATATTTAGTTAATGAACTAAATATTTAGGTGTAAATTAAATGTTTAATTTCCAAGTACATATTTATTTTAAAAACTAAACTTTAATTTATAAACTATATATTTAATGTCCAAGTTAAACGTTTAATTCCTAAACAAAATATTTAATTTGCTAACTAAATATTTAGCTTGGAACTAAATGTTTTATTTTCCAAACTAAACAAGTAATTTTCAAAATATATATTTAATTTGCTAACTAAATATTTAGGGCAGACATAAATATTTAACTTGCTAGCTAAATGTTTAACTTGCTAGCTAAATATTACCTTGCAAGCAAAATATTTAGTTTGTAAATTAAACATTTAGCTTGGACACAAACACGTAGTTTGTAAACTAAACATTTAGTGTGGAGTTTAATATTTAACTTGCTAACTATTTAACTTGCAAGTTAAATGGTTAGTTTGTAAATTAAACATTTAGCTTGGACATAAACACTTAGTTTCTAAACTAAACATTTAGTGTGGAGTTTAATATTTAGCTTGCTAACTAAATATTTAACTTCCAAGTTAAATATTTAGTTTGTAAATTAAACATTTAGCTTGGATGTAAACATTTAGTTTGTAAACTAAATATTCAGTGTGGAGCTAGATATTTAGCTTGCTAACTAAATATTTAACTTGCAAGTTATGTATTTGGTTAGCAAACTAAATATTTAGCTTATACATTAAATATTTAGTTTGGAACGATGACATTTATAAATGTACGAATAACATGATGAAAATATAACTTAAAAAAAAAGTTTTTTTTCCTTATGAAAGGCTAAATAAACCAAAAATATTGCTGTTAATTTTTGACTGTATAACTTTACAAATGGTACCCCATACAGGGTTGTCTCCAGAGCTTAAATAGTTGAGGATGTAAATGCAGTTATTACATTCTGGAAGTTTTATTCAAATCTGTGCAGTGGCTTGGGAAGTATTTTAATGCTACGTATGACATCACACAAACACAGGGAAAAAAAACAACATTATTATCACTGCTTCACCTTTCACTGCAAATGATTAAAAATATATACTTTAGTGTAAATACCTTGAACTCTCCCATCAGACTGTCTGCTCTGAGGGAGAAGGCATCATAAACCTGGGGGGGGAGAGGAAAAAAAAATCATTGAATTGGGAATAAAGCATTATATTTTATATATTTATAAATACGTATAACTGAAGTGGATTTGTGCTCACTCGAAGACTGACGCTCTCGTCGAAAAGCTCTGAAGGCATCATGTTGACATTGTAGAAAAACATCTGAAGCACAAAACAAAGACACAAATGCTTTTTTTAGCCCCTCTGCTGCCGTTGAGTCAAAACGACCCACAAGGCCTCAGTTTTGGTTAAGTCAGCATATGAGAAACACATTAAACACATTTAAAACTATTCTTTCTTTGGCAAAAATCAAATAAATTGTATATTTATGAGGGATTAGAGAAAGTTCCAACGCCAGTGACTTTAAAGTCTTGAAGATATGAAGCCTCCAGTGGGAGGATGGAAGCTCAAGTTGTTAAACAAAAGAGGCTGTCATTTAATAAGTGAATAACTTTAATTAAAAAAAAGACTTTTTATTTAACCCTATTTACCTCATCAAAGAACGGGTTGTGACCTCTCCTAATCCTGGTCCTTTGTGTCTGTCCGCATGCGTTCACTCTCACCACGGGCTTGATGTTGTTGCCGGGAAGCTGACGACACTCGATAACACGAACCCGGATCTGAAGAGAACGAACAACAAGAAACCAGAGATAAAAAAAAACCTGACAACTCGCCTGTTTTTTTTTTTTGAACAGGGCTGTTGATGCACTGAGGTTGACCGCTGTGTTTGGTGTGGACATATGTCCCAATAGCAATAACTCTGGCTTGACGCAGGATCAGAAGAAATGTTTTTTGTAATTCTCCATCATGTCAGTAAAAGCTGATGATTTGCTGTTTGTTCCCTGACGTGGCCTTGGTGAAGTCTGCTGTCAGTCATGCAAATCATTCCAAATCCCCCACTAAACTGATTGTTGTGGTTGCACAGGAAGTCATCAGAAAACCTGGAAGTCCTGCGGCTTGTTGGGCAGCGCTCTGTGCCTCTTTCTGCTGAAACGCTGGGATTTGTTCGGTATTCCAGCCTGATTTGGTGATGGAGAAGCTCCTGGACTTCCAGCCTGTCCCGCTCCGTCCTCATCTTCCTCTCCCTCGTAAACATCGTCTTTGCCCTCTGTGGTAAAAACCACAATAATTACAAACGCTCATGTGATAAACATTCAGAATATGCTTTGTTTGTTTTCCGACAGTTCTCACTTTCAAACACTGAACGGCATCTTTAAACAGCCACATCTATTCAGTTTTATTATGAGGCTTCTTTTTTGATGCTTTATTAATCTTCTTACCAGCCTCTACGTGGGATGTGTCTGCATTAGTTGGATCATTTAGGTTTGGATTGGTGCTGGCAGGAGAGTCATACCCAATGACCAAATTAATGTTGGCCTGTAAGAGAACACATAAGAACAGATTGAGATCTCAGTTTATTTGTGCAGTAATGTGCAAAAGCTTTAAACCTATTGTAATTATTTTAGACTTTGCTTCAGTTTTCACACATTTTCTGCCCGATCCTAATAATGACAGCACATAGTCGACCTTTTCTTTCGGCTGTTCCCGTGGAGGTCACCAAAGCCCTTCCCCTCAGGTTGAGAAGTTTGAGCTCTAATCATTACTGCACTTTGGATCAGGGATGCCTCCACTCTTTACAGCTTCACGGTTTAAACCTCTCTCCCTGTCATTGTCTCCAGCATGCCTCCACCTCTCCAGGCTCTCTTTCACCTGCTCCCTACTCTCACTACAGATCACGTCTCCTGTGAACATTATGATCCTTGGGTCTCCTGCCTAACCTCATTGATCATGTCCATCGTAGCAAACAAGAAGAGATGTATGCAGCTTAAAAAATGAGGAACGTAGACAAGTGGAGGAGAGGGGAGGCTAGTTCAGCTGCAGTTTAAATTTATTTATGTCAAATTGTTTTTTTTGTTTTTTTTATATTTTTCCTGGATTTAATCTGAGAATAAGGAGAAAGTTGTGCTTTTGTAA